GTGGCTGTGGCCTGGTTACCCAAAGCGACTGTGCAGGTAAGTATTGCTATCGAAAACACCTTTTAGTTGTAAAATTTGCGTCATTATACCCGTATATCATCTCCTGAAAAAAGCTGCCTCAACTTGCTAGTTCTGATCAACATGACAGAAGCGGAGGTAGAGAGGGGAGGAGGGCAGGGAGGGAGAGAGAGGCGTTTGACAATTGCCGCTAAAGTGGCTTTCGTCAGCAACCGACCTTTGGTTCTTGTTGATTCATCGCCTTTTTTTTCTGGTAAACTGACAAATTCTCCGTATTGACTTTTCTGACTACCCGTAGCTCGTCCCATACGTTGTTTCAGAAATCGAAAGGTTCTGTTTATTGACGTGGTCGAGTATCACATCAGTTGTGCTCATATATTTTTTGGAGGCGTGCGTATCTCGGCATCTTTTTTGAATCTTCTGTAAAATCGTAGTTACCCTTTCCAAATACCGTTACGTTTAATGATGTATAATGGTTTGGTGGATCCGATAATGCATATGGACATTTTTGAAACCATAAATGTCAAAAGGGGTTAGCCAGACGTCTTACCTGTGGAAAATGTGTAGTGCACGTGTATCGTGCTTCCATCCATGTGTGAATTATTCAACACAGCAGGGCTAAGAAATACCCTTATATATAACGCGATATCCTTCAAAATATCGTATTTCAGGCGGCTTTGGCTCCAGTGGTCTTGGATATGGCTAGATCAAAAGGCGAGATCGAACCTAGTTATGTCGACAATGGTGTTGTGATTTTCACCATCGCCGTACTAAGTATTCTGATAACGGCTCCAGTAGGCGCTTCCTTGATTCGTCTGGCAACACCTCTGTTGCTGACCAAAGAGCTGACCAAGGATCAAAAAAGTAGCAAAGAAGCGGCTGAAGACGTTGATGATTGTACTAGTTCTCACAGTGGTACAGATTGACGTTAGCGGTTTCGATTTCCGTAGTACCTAGGAGAAGTTATTTAGTAGGGATTTTTTTTAGAAATTCATTAGAGTAGTTTAAATTGTTGCAACGTAAAGACGTGGATGTGCTTATGCTGTTTTCCTCAGTTGTTTCTTTCATGTAATGGATTCTAGCTCATTTCTCATACTAATGTATTTATACTTCAAATTATGCAATCTCTGTAGCTCATTTCGATCATGTTATCAGGAACTCTGAGCTTTATTCATGGGTCTGCTTTACATTTACATGCTAGTGACTGTTGCTTTATCCGATTTTTTGGCTATACTGATGAATTGCAATAAATTTACCTCCTCATGATATTGTTGATAAACCAGTTAGTCGATCGCGGTGGAGAAGTACTGCGATAATTATTTGTTGAGTCAATAAAATCGTTTCGTCTCTTTCATGTTTTCTTTCTTTTTACTTGGTGTCGACCAAGGTGTATCCGAATTATTGATTTGGTTCTGATTACGTTAATGTCGTTTTACAGTTATGAAATAATGCACAAGCTCATCTGTTCCGTTCAAACGTACGACTGGGGTAAGCCAGGGAGTCGGAGTACTGTGGCAGCGCTAGTCAAGGATGGACACCACGCGAATTATGTCGATGAGGACAAACCATATGCGGAGGTGCGTGTACTGTTTTAGTTGGTGTTTAGTGTAACCAGTAAATTTCCGTTCCTCTCCCCTATTTATTTATAATTTTCTTTTAATTTTATTTACAATGCTATTTTAATGTTTACATTGCTGTTATTTTTTCACTTATTTGGCTGTCTTTGTATGTTGGCTTACCTTACCAGGATAACGAGCGCGCTCTTTCTTGGACGCATTAGCGCGATTTGCGAGCACTCCCAGCTCCAGTAACGTTCTTACTATTTTGGGATTTTCAGTTTAGCTATAGATGTTCTATCAGGTTGATCGGAAGATATCCCGCCGTAACTCTTCTGTAATTGTTCAGAAATGATCCAGCTTTTAGAGAGGCAATTTGGTCCATGAGTCAGCAATCGCACTGGTAGAAGCAGGTTTTTATGAATTTCACTCACGGATTACCAGTCAGCCCCGATCACAGCGGTGGACTCAAAATGACCATCATCATCCACTAGGACCCGCCCAAGGTAAGGCCACTCGGGGGGAGCTGGAGAAATATGACCGGTTGGATCCTTAACCACCTTCAGCCCCCCTGTGGACAGGAAAAACTTCCAAGGCGAAGGCGGACTTAGTTCGCATATGGCGGCTTTGTCCTTGTCAAACTGTTACTTACTTAGAGAGGAGTTTAAAGATCCGTGAGGGTGAAATTGACACGTAGTCGGCCAATGATGTTTACTCTGGATCTAGTCGCATGATTGTTGAAATATGTTCAAAAAAGGTCCGGAAGGAGAGTTTCGATTCAACTCAATATTCTCAAGTCCCTAGAAACGACTTCAAGTTGATCTAGTTCGTCAGTCTCTAAAAGTAAAGCCATTTCGTGACCTATTACTTGATGGTGCTTGAGTTCTGGGATGGATTGTTCATGAAGAGATGGACCAGCATAAAATTGCGATATGCGTCGAGGATTCTCATGACTCGATAAAAAACCATTCCGGAACTAGCTTGGAATACCGAGCAAGGTTTGCCAAGTGTTACCCTACGGCTCGAGTTTACCACATTTTTTATTTTTGTAGGTACGCTTCAGGTCTCTTCAAGGTTTTATCTGGTGGGAGAAGCACTTATCTGTGGCAGAGTCATCCACTAAGGTTCGAAGGTTGCGTTAATTTGTATTGTGGGTTTGAAATATGTATTCGTATCACTGTTGGACGGTATCTTGTCATTGTTTTACGGGTTGCATCTCTTGTTTTTCGACAGAAAGTACAGAACTGGGTGCACACAAAAATGCTGAAAATGCAAATACCATTTCTCAGTATTTTTGTGTGGTGGCGTTTCCGATGTATTAGATATTCGTTTTAATTTTTTTTAGCAAGAAGCAGTTATGCTACATGCGAAAGATCCTTATATTTATCCGGATCCAAACCACAAACCCGAGATGGCGATTGCGCTCACGAATTTTGAGCTGTTGTGTGGCTTTCGCCCACCGTTAGAAATCTACGAAAATCTAAGAGGTGAGGTTTTTGAGTGTTAGTTGATGTTTGATGATTGTCGTATGGAGTTCTCTTCTCCCTAGCGTTAGTCCCGCGAGTCGCAGGGTCCGCTGTCCTTTGTTAGTCGTCGCCACTTTGTCCTGTCCAGCGCATCTTCTGCTGTGGCCATGACTTCACCTAGGTCCTTCCTGATAACGTCCCTCCACTCTCTTCTTTGGGCTCTCCTGCGCTTGCCTTGCGCTTCGAAATCCATCGCATTCCTTATCGGGATGTTCCTGTGGTGCCCATACCATCGCAGTCGTCTGTTCACCTTCAGCTGGACAGGGGCAGTCTGCATGACCGCTCTGACATCCTCGTTTCTGACCCTGTCCAGTCGCGTCCAGCCGCAGGCCCATCTCAGCATCCTCATCTCAGCGGAGTGAAGCTGCCTTTCGTGATTCTTGTTCAGGGGCCAGCACTCGCTGCCGTATAGCATCGCAGGCCTTACCACTGTCCGGTACACCTTCCCTTTGAGCGCTTCTGGAGCACCTTCGGTCGCAGAGGATCTCCGGATTAAGTAAAAGTAGTCAATAGCCATAGGTAAACACTCATAAAATAGATACTGCTTTGTTGAAACTGGGCGAGGTTGACTAACTTTCAGTCGGGTTCGCCTTTTTTGGACCCTAAAAGGAAGAAGGCGAATCGTCGACAGTTCAGCTGATAAAGTGCTGTTAGAAACCACGCGTGCTGTGTCCGCAAAGCAGTAATTACTTATGCGGTGGTTCATCGATAGTCGAACTAAGCAACTCATAAAAAGAGCTCTGCTTTTTTTTCCGGTTGATTATTGTTGAGGGCCCAACCCTCTCGCAACAAACAGGGCTTTGGCGGCGAAGGCCAGGAACCATAATTAGGAACTCAGACGTCCGTCAAGGTTCTCCCAGTATTTGAGCTCTCCTGGTTTATACGCCCTCTGGACCAACTTCCATCGGGGATATCCCCTGTTCTCGAGCTGACGTAGTTTTGGGAATTCAGTCAAGTGTAAGAACTGAATTTGCTTTCCGAAGTTTCGTACCGAGATTCCACTTTTTTCTCTTGTTTTCTAGCTGCCACTTATATTTTAACGTATGTGTTCCTCTGATCGCCTTCACTGTTTTGCAGCCTGTCCCGAGATTTTGGAACTTGTCGGAAATTGCGACGACTTAAAGAAACTCTTGGACAGTAATGAAGCGGTAGCTAGGCAAATGTTGAAACATGTTTTCACAAAAATATGGTCATCTCCGCCAGAAGCGATTGCCAAGGCTGTACAGGCATTTGTGACTCGTATCAGCAAAGGTTAGTTTCGTTGTGTTTGAGTTGCGCAGGAATTTCCTGCCCTCTTTTAGTATAGTTGATTTTTTTTGAATTTGATGTGACTCGTAGATTTCTTTTGTGATTCGAAAGTACACAGTCAGCCGCATCTTTTGATATGCAACGCTTGTATATTTGTGTCAGTTTGAGGTTCCCAGCAGGAAGATGATGGTTTTGCATGAGAAGGCAATACATTTAGGCTGGTGTTAGAGTCCGCGATCCGTCGCAGGTTTCGCTGATTTTCGCGATTTGCGCGAAACCTGCGATGGATCACAGGAGTTGGAAGTGCCCGATGAATACTGCGAGGTGCCGTTAATCCTGCTGCGAATTCTGCTTGACAGTGAAGATTGAAAGACGACTGTTGTGATTCTACCCTATAACGTGAAAAAGGTGGGGGAGGGAGGGGTTGATCGGGGCACTTTCAATTCCTGTGATCCGCGCGGTCGCAAAAATTGCAAGTGCCCCATTTGAACATTTGAAACACTGAATATGAAACAAGTGGAATCATGAGCAGTCGTCATTCAGCCATCACTATCAAGCAGAAGTGGCGGCAGGATTGGAGAACACCTTGCAGTATTGATCGGGCACTTGTGATTTCCGTGACCCGTCGCGTGAATCGCGCAAATCGCGCAAATCGCGAAAATCGCGAAAATCGCGAAAATCAGCGAAACCTGCGACGGATCGCGGACTCTGACACCAGCCTTATACACCACCAACAATCTTCTTTATCTTCTTTGCTCGCTCTCAAAGGCAACGATCGCGATGGCTGACGGGCGAGGACGAGTTGAACACTCCATTTGTGGAATGGCGTCGAGAGGGTGCTCAGCAACCGCCCTCCAGTGCGCGGCAATGGTTTTGGCCTCTCACTCGACAGTGGATGGGACTGCAGTGGTGCGGCAATGGTTTTGGCCCTCACTCGACAGTGGATGGGGACTGGCAGTGGTGCGGCAATGGTTTTGGCCTCTCACTCGACAGTGGATGGGACTGGCAGTGGTGCGGCAATGGTTTTGGCCTCTCACTCGACAGTGGATGGGACTGCAGTGGTGCGGCAATGGTTTTGGCCTCTCACTCGACAGTGGATGGGACTGCAGTGGTGCGGCAATGGTTTTGGCCTCTCACTCGACAGTGGATGGGACTGCAGTGGTGCGGCAATGGTTTTGGCCTCACTCGACAGTGGATGGGACTGCAGTGGTGCGGCAATGGTTTTGGCCTCTCACTCGACAGTGGATGGGACTGCAGTGGTGCGGCAATGGTTTTGGCCTCTCACTCGACAGTGGATGGGACTGCAGTGGTGCGGCAATGGTTCCAGCCCCTCACTCGACAGTGGATGGGACTGGCAGTGGTGCGGCAATGGTTTTGGCCTCACTCGACAGTGGATGGGACTGGCAGTGGTGCGGCAATGGTTCTGGCCTCTCACTCGACAGTGGATGGGACTGGCAGTGGTGCGGCAATGGTTTTGGCCTCTCACTCGACAGTGGATGGGACTGGCAGTGGTGCGGCAATGGTTCTGGCCCCTCACTCGACAGTGGATGGGACGGCAGTGGTGCGGCAATGGTGTTTTGG